AAGACAATACAATCTGGCTGGCTTCAAGATGGCACTTGGACAATGAGTGCTACAAATGTGACCCAGCCCCAGACAGAGGGAAGTTCTGGATTCTTTTCCAGCCATGTCAACTCACATGCAACTTCATTCATGGATCTAACTGGTGGCAAGGTATATAGGTTTCAACTCAGAAATGAACGAGTAATTAATGCTCAAGAATTCCACACCTAGTTCCTAAAAAGATGGGGTGGGCTACTATTTGCTGCCCTTCTGGCAGGAATGTCTGCTGGTGTTTTCAGCTCAGTGAACAGTTAGGAGGGAGAGAGCTCCATCCATTAGCAGAAGAGAACTCATGTGCTACGTGATCTGACATTCAGTTCACGCTCACGCAGTCTCCAGTGAGCAAGGTGCATCCATTTGAATAAACATGGAGACAGGCAGAAGAGAGGGAGGCAAAGCAGCTACAGGACGAGGTGATGGCAGAAACAAGTTCACAAATCTAGCAGAGCAGCTCTCAAGAGAATCTTAACATGAGACCCAAGGGGCATGTCGGAGCAACATGCCATTTTATATGGCTCTGAGCAAGTTGCCAGTTGTCTTTTCATTAACACTAGAGCTACCTGGAAGGTGCTGAACAGCACTGTGCTAGAAGAGTTAAGACTTGTCCTAAACTCAGACCAAACTGTTATTGCCCTAATTACAAGGTCAGAGCCAGCTTGGAGGAAGAAACTACCATATATATACATATACATACATATAAAATTTTATTTCATGTCATTTTATTATTTATAATAATGCATTATTTTATTGTTTTTGGACAGCCAAGAGACTTTTTAAGATTGCCCTCTCTGAAATAGTGGGGTCTTACTTCAGAAATACATCCCACTTATGAGGCCTGGAAAATTCTGTATGAAAACTGATATGTTCATTGGGAAACTGCTGAAATGTTATTTTAAAATAGCACTGAACACATAGCTTGGAAGTAAATGCACAACCAATGTCCTCTACATTGTGTGTCCATTTATGTAAAGCCTACCATCTAGCAAGACACACCTCATTACCACCTTTGAATTCTCACTCCTCCCCACCAAAAAAAAAAAAAAAAAATCTGAGTAAGCTCCAGAGAGAAACAACCTGACTTTGACATTACAAAAGACTTTAAAAAATCAAATAAGGCCAAACTGATGCCCACAGCAACCCCATAGTTCATTCTACATTTTTATTAGGTGCAGTCAAAGCAGCTGACACTATTTGTTCAGAACTGGGAAACCACTTAAATGTTCTGTTTATTCTATGCCTCATAAAATACAATTCTTTAAGAGATTTCTTTGTAAGGATATAGTAATTAACAAAATTGACACTTCCTTTAAACTTTTTGATTAGTTTCAATAACTAAGAGTCACACTGATTGACTGCAAAATGATGAGGCTATAAAATAGATGAAGTCACATCTCCCACCAAAAATTATTTAAAATGCCAGGTACCCACCCCCAAAAAAGGAGTTCCTGATTACTCACAGTATGTGGAAAATTATATTTGCACTGTCTCAATTACCGCTGCTTATTTCTCAGTACTGAAACGCTTTGGATTGTCTGACATGATGCCCAGAAATACGAGTTCACAGTCCCATTCACAAACCGAGGAAGCCACGTCTAAATGAAAGTCTTAACACGGGTACTAGGATTCAGGCTTTGAAAATGACCATTTTCAAATTTTCTGGGACATCCTTTAAACACGAGCAACTTTGCTCTTCCAGCAAGTAAGGAACAGAACAACTTCAAAGGTCTCTGCAAGATTCCCCTGCTGACGAGGGTACCAGCACTTTATCCTAGCAGCATCTGCCAGCCAGGCCTTCTTTTCCTTTCAGTCACCACAGGCATATATGGAGGCTATTCCTTCCAGCCAGCACACCACAACATTGAGGAAAACACAGGCTGAACGGAACGCTCTTTGCTCTTCTGGAAACACTGAATTCAAGGCAACTAGTCATGTCTGAATGTTCATATGTTCTTCTCAGCCCAATAGGCAGAGCTGGGAACGAAACCTCACCTCCCACTGGGAAACCACCGGGTTCTCACAGGACACGGTTCATGGAGGACTCTACCCTTCTAATTTCATCTGTCCAGCTGAGATCTGCAAGCATTCTTATTGACTCACACACATGACCCAATAGATGAGTTACTGATTGCACAGCACAGGAAGTCTGAAACTGCTTTCTCTAAGTGCCTCCTAGATTTTGGGGTTAGGCCTCACCCACAGTATAATTCTGATTCCAAGTGTCTCTCAGTCAAGTGGTGATCTTGCCTGCGAGGGAGAACTCCAAAGAATTTGTCACTATGATACTGTGACATCAATTCCACTTTTTGTGGTTAATAAAACAAGTCCTGCATCCAGCCTGGCACAATGCCCTGGTCTGATTTATTTTAAGCCAAGCTGGAGGGTTCACAAGGAAGGCTGCCATTCATGAATGTGTCAGGACAACAAGTATGCCAGGGTCCCTTGCGGTAAAACTTCCACGGGTCAGAAAACTGATTGACCCCCCCTGCTTCAGCAAACTAAGCCTACTCCCTAAGGTAGGATGATATGTTACCCCTTTAAAAAATACTAATTGTTTTACTTATACAATCTGTTTTGCCAGACATTTTACTTCCAAAAGGTGTCCTGTGAGAGTTGGTACAGGGATTAGTGCAAAAGAAATATTCCAATTCCTTACTTAACTGTCTCAAACACCAACACTTCATTCCCTACCCCCACTCTTAACACACAATGAAACAAAATACGAAGACATAGGATTTTCCAGACAAATCTACATACAGCCTTAATTTAAGACTTTTCTGCCCCAGCACAGAATTAGAATTTTTTGTTCTAAAGTGGCACACCTATCTCCTCAGAGAGCTCAGCTCTCTTTGAATAAAAAAGGCAAGGCACCCTTGGGGGGACTCAGCATATATTTTTAAACTTCTTATTAAATCAACCTAATTTATGGGGCATGTTCAAGGAAAAGCAGGTAAGGAAGGAGTTGCTTTGGCCGACTCTAGCCAGTCCCCCCTCCTTCCTCCATTGCTCTGCTCCAGCAAGGATTTCCGAGTGCCTTCGTCTCTTCCAAAGCCACTCGGCTCTCTCCGTCAGAGCCCCGATTAGGCTCCGAACACTGCCGAGTCCCTCCGAGCCAGGTGCCCAACCACACCGAGCTAAGCCGAATGTGACCGAATTGAGCCCCATCGACTTTTCCGGTCTCCGCTGGGCGCTGTCCACCACTCGCAACGCCTGAAACCTCACCCCGCTCGGGTGGCTGGGGCTTCTACCAGGCTCCAACCCCACGCTATTACAGATTACTGACTTCTGAACTTTGGAGACATCTTCCCTTGGGAGAAAGTGGGTGCTTCGGCTTCCATTTACCGACCGCAAGGGCTCCAGGCAGATGCAACATGCACCTTGTTGCAAAAAGCAATTCCCAAGGCTCCGCCTCCCCATCCATTAGGGCTGCAGGAGCTCCGGGAGAAGCCCCAGGCCAAATTACCGGTGGCTCAGAAGGGTGCGGCAAGCCGTGGGGGCCTCTGCACAGAAAGCCCCAGGGAGCCTTCGAACAAAACACGAACATGTGAAGCATATGGGGGGGTGCTGCCTCCTAGCCACTACTCCCTACCATCATGGCGCCGCCTGGAACCCGCTTGTCATGCCTGTTACACATGCAAGATTTCTTGCTTCTTGGTTCCCAAACAGAACACTCCGTTTCCCACCCACCTTCCCACGAAAGGGGTTTTTATTTTCTATTGTTTTCCTACGGGATGCAATTACTTCGGCTATCTTGTCAAGTTGAAAAATAATCATTTTTGTTTACTGCACAGCAACCCCTAATTAGGAGCTGTGTGTGCATGAAGGTGTCACAGCAAAGCGACGTGGAATCCTCACTAAACGGTCTTAACGAACTCCTCCACCCAGAACTATCAGGCCAAACGGAAGCAGCCAGGTCAGGAGGCCTGGTACCCCTTTCCTGCTGGCCATCCCCTCCCCAAGCAGAGCTGCCAGTTAGCACACCAGGTACTGCTACGTGCATGGGGCAAGATGCGAGCCTGCCAGTGGGAAGGAGGGGCGAGGCTCCTTATTGAGAAAGTGTGGAAGGGAAGGAATATCCCATTTTGCTTTAATTTTCAACCATCACTCAAATCCACCCCCAGCTAATTAGAAGGGGAAATTGATACCTAAGGCAGAGGGTGGTGGCAGCAAGTGGGGCCTTAAAACTGCATCATGGGTAGAATACATGTAAGACAGGCCTATGCAGAGTGTAAATAAATACACAGATAAGGGCCACAGGGGAGGAAAGCTGCCCCAGTCAGGGCAGCAAACGTGGAGAGGCAGGGAAGGAAGAGGGGAGAGACGGGGCCCAGGCAGCAAGAGGCAAGCATTTTAGTCCCACAGCCAGTCTCCCACCTATGCCAGGATGCATCTATGCCAGTCACATCACTTAGGGGCCCATCCCTAACCCTGGCTGCTTTTTGGGTGGGTGGGTGGGGAGTAGAAACCACAACCTCCAATTCAGCACCAAAAACCCATGAACAGCAGACACTTTATCCTGCACACAGTCTAGGGCTGGGTCCCCTCCAAGTTCAAAATCAATGCAGGGCAAAGAGCAGGGAGAAGCGAGATTCTGGATCTCCAGGGCAGGGGCATGAAAGGAGGAGGAGGGAATGGAGACAGCCAGACACACGGAACACGCCACCGGCGGGAGTAATGATGCTAATCATGCCAACAGTGTGATGTTCTGATCAATATGGCGGACACTGTCATTCATACAACTACAGGCGCTCCCCTTCCCCCCCAACACCCACCCAAGGAGTTGGGGTGGAGGACCCAGAACCAACGTAAGAGAGGGGGAGGGCTGTCAAGTGCTGGTGTGTGTGTGTGTGTGTACGAATTAAAAAACAGGCCTGGGGTGCAATGTGGAGTGCATGAGGTCATAAAAACGATCTTTAAAAATTATTCTTAATAAAAGTACAAATGGCAACACCACAGAGACTTACTTCATCTGCTTCACAATGGTGCTTTTCCCCGATTCTCCAGCCCCTGTTGGGACACAGATTGGGGGGGGACACTGGTGAGTGTCAGCTTGGAGGCACTTGGGGAGGGGGCGAGGAAAGCATGCGAAGGCTGGGCAACCCCGTGCATAAGGTGGGGCCAACTCAGGGACTAGGGCTGCCAGAGCAAGGTGGAGCAGGGGGCTGGTGGCAGGGGGTGTGGAGTGGCCAGGGTCAGGGGACGGGGGGTGGCAACCTCGGTTCTTACCCAGCAGGAGTAATTTCACGTCTTTGGCAGCGCTGATGCCATCCTCTTTGAGGTTTTTCTCAATCGCCTTGCTCCGCTCGAGGGCGGCTCTCTCCTCTGCGCTCAGAGTACATCCCATGGTGGCCCCTTCCCTGCCACAGCCCGCTCGACTCGGCTGGCACGGCTCCCCTGCTTGGAGCGCCCCCCACCCCCCCAGAGAGCAGAGCCTGGGCTCAAAGGGGGAAAAAAATCACGGTATTCTTTCCTGGGGGCTGGAAACAAAAATGTCAGGAAACCAGCACCCCCCCCAAAAAAAGGCTGCTAACCAGATCCCGGCAGCCGAGACTCGCGGCACCTGGCGTGGGTCTGGCGGTGGTGGTGGTGGTGGTGGTGGTGGTGGTGGGGTGTCCAGATGAGGGTGGCCAAGGTCTCGGGTTCCGGAACCGGGAGAAGAGGCGCTGGGTGCAGGCACGGAGGCTTAGTGCACGACCCCCCTCCCCAAAAAATAAGAGTCAAAGCTGGATTCACAGCTGGAACCCGCGGAGGGTGGGGTGGGGGGCAGGGTGGGTCCTTCTGCCGCGGCTATCGGAGGAGGCGTCTGGCGGAGGCGGCGGTGTCGGCGGCGCGGGATGTGGAGGGAGTGAGTTAGGGGGTGCTGCTAGTGCATGTGCATCGCCGGTCCTCAGCCGTCGGTGCGTCCGAGGCGACTTCGCCGGTCCCCGCGCGCTGGGCAGGGCTGGGCAGGGGCCGGGCGGGGGGCAAGTCTCTAGCGGGAGAAGATGTCGCTGTCTTCCAGCGCTCGCATCGCTCGGTGGAGCCTACCGGAGAGGGGGGAGAGCGCGAGGGAGCCGCGGCCAGTCGGGAGCTCGAGGGAGAGGTTGAGAGAGAGAGAGAGAGAGAGGAAAGGCAGGGAGGGAGGGGGGAAATGAAGGGAGAGCAGGAGCGAGAGAACGCGCGCGCGAGCCCGAGCGGGGGAGGGGGCGAGCGCAACGGCGAGTGCGCCGGCGGCCTTGCGCACCCGGCTCCGCCAGCCGCCCGCTGACGTCAGCAGGGCCGCGCGCCGGTACCCGGGGGGGCGGGAGGGGCGGAGGCCGGGAGGCCACGGGAGGCGCGCGCCCGGGGCCTCGCCTCAGCTGGCGGCGGCGCGCAGGCGCGCTCGTGCGCGTGGCGCGGCCTCCCCTTCCCCCAGCGTGGGTCGGGCTCGCGGCTCCCTCAGGGTGGGCGCGGGCGGGCCCGGCGAGGGCGCGGCCTGGGGCCGGCGGGCTGCGCGCGGTGGCGCCCCATCCCGCTCCGGCTCCGGCCCCGCGCGGCGGCTGCGCCGGCCTTCTGCTCAGTGAGAGCCCGAGTGTGGGCGAGGCTGTCAGGTGGGCCCCCCATCCCGATCCCGGTTTGCGTCTGGCGCGACCTGTCTTCCCTCTCGGGTTTGCTCTCCATCTTGTCTTCAGTAGTTAGGGACCGAAACGGCCGAGGCCAAGTTATTTCAGCAGAGGTGAGGCGATAAGACACGAATAAACCCGTGTACCCCATGATTGGCCTCTGTGGGGTCCCGAGGCTGACTTGCGGTTTTTACTCCTTGAATCCACGTTTATTGAGTATCTAGCAGGTGAGAGAGAACATTGTGAGAAGAGGAACCCCGCAGGCTGAGGCAGAAACAAGGCCAGGGCTGTGTCGCCTGGGCTTTGGGCCAGGCTCGGTGTGCGCGGGAGGGCCACTCCCTTCCAGGGGAGCTTCGGTACCCGAGCTGCTAGCAAAATGCTTCCCTAATTTTTCCAACGTGTTGGCAATGTTGGACAATTTAGCTTGGATGAGGACTTTGGATTCTTGTGTCTTATCCCTCCCCAAATTAAAAAAAAAAAGTTAATTCTGAGTAGAGTTTTGAAGAGAGAATATTTTTTTCCATCTTTTAGAAGATTTTTTTTTCTCCCTGTCTCAAAGACCCTGAGACCCGCGGGTCAGTTACTCAGTATATGGCTGACCAAATACTGAGGAAATCGGTAGACTTTTGCCAAAGAGCTGGCATGTTCTGGGTGGTCTCAGAGTTTGCGGAAATAGGTTTTGTTTTTTTTTTTCTGCACAAAATAGTTTTACAATCAGTTCCACCAGACAGCCCCAGGGGCCTCCTAGAGACGAGGGCCAAGAGACAAGATTGCATGGGGATGGGAGCGGCAAGCAGCCAGTGAAAAACAGTTTTCTTTCTAACAGTTGGGCATTTCTGTGGCTCTGAAAGCAAACTTGTTTGTTTCATTTCAACAAAAGAAAAAAAATCAACCACTCCTGTTTTGGAAATGTTACCCAGCATAAAAATATTTGCATGGGGAAAAAAAAGTCAGGCCGTTTAGGCCCACCCAGAAGAGAGTAATTTTCCCTAGAAAAATTATAAAATGTAGTTATTTCCCCATTTGCCTCGTTCTGGAAATAACTGTGTCAAAAACATGTATGCACTGTAATTTGAACATTTAAAGTTGAACCATATTTTACATATTCTAGGAAACTGGCGTAGGACTCTCATAAGGAATTGTTTCATAAAGTTTCATAACCACTTCCGTACCACCCTTCTAGTTCCCTTCTTCCTCTGTGTTTGTGTGTGTGTTTGAGAGAGGATGTTGGTTTAGGGGATAAATCTGGTTTGCCTTCAAATCAAGGAGTCTGTCAGAATCAGCCTTTCAAAACCCAAGCATATAATGCTTAACTCCCCAGCATTCTATAGGTTTTTATTATTTCTTGTACAGGTTGCTAGGACAATTATTCAAATCTATCGGATGCAGGGGGGAAAGCTGAGCAACCTCACCCAGCTCCTGCTATCTGTTAAGATTGTATTTGGAATACTGAGGAGGTAAGAATTAAAATATTTTCTTACAGCTGGTGGGTCACAGTTTATGTTTTAAATGAAGCCATAGAGTACTTTCATATTAAATTATTTTAAGAGCCTAGGCTCTTGGGGCGCATTCTGATTTGCGTGGTTTAGGTATATTTAATCCTTGGTCTTAGACCCTGAATGGTTGAAACACAAACCTGTCATTTGTATATTTCTCTACTTACTCTGACTTAGTAAGCACCTACCAGGTGTTATAGATGTTGTATTTCAGGTTTGTCTACCCTGTTTTCTTTTTCTGGATCATTTTGCATCATTATAAGTTGTGTTTCATAAAAGACTAATAATAATCCGCTTCATTTGTACAGCGCTTTTCAGCTTAGTGAGCACTTTTACAAAAATGAGCTCATGTGATCCTGCTACATAAACTGGAGTTCTCTGCTGTGGTGTGGGAGGCATGGCTGAGTGGGGAGAGCCTGGATGATGAATGCAGATCAACCAGGGTACCCATTTCACAGCTGAGCAAGATGAGTCTCCGAAGCGCTGAATAGCTTAGATCTGGAACTTGCTTTAAGGTCACAGAGACCTCAGGAGTCAGCAAGTACTCCTTTGACAGATTTGCATACTCTATGAGAACAAGTATGCTTTTCAGACTCACGAGAAGGCTTACACTCCTAGATCTCAGTCTTATTCTGGTTTCCCTAAAGGAAGTAGGAATGAGACTAGTTCAGTTTTGTGTGAAGTATTAATAGTTAGAAAACACAAGTGTTTAATGTGTCCACAGTTAGTTCTTGTGGGAATGAAGCAATGGCAGTCCGAACCTCAGGAGTAGAGAGAATGGACCAAGGACAGATTGTATTTGATTTTCTGTCATATAATCCTCAAAATTATATTTTTTTCTGATTCTTACTGTAGACCAGAGAGTTACTCTCACCCCATCCTTAGCTGTCCTCTTTGCTACAATTTCAAAAGTAGGCAATTAGAACGTTTTGTATACTCTCTAAAAGGAACAACGGTAAGGCCTACATTTAATTGCTTCTGTACTACATTTCTGGAGGACAGTAATTCATGATGAAACACAGCTCCCAGTTCTGACAAATTAGAATGTGGGTTCTGATTAAGTGAAATTAATTTCCCTATTTGTTCCCTTACATGGTTTCTTTAATTAAAAATAGATATATATGTATTTAAAGATTTATTTCTTTTCATTGAAAAGGCAGATATACAGGGAGAAGGAGATAAAGAGAAATATCTTCCATCCATTTATTCACTCTTCAAATGGCTGCAACAGCCAGAGCTTCAACTGCAACAGCTGAAGCAAGGAACCAGGAGGCAGGAGCCTTCCCTGGATCTCCCACGTGAGTGTAGGGTCCCAACGCTTTGGACCATCCTTTACTGCTTTTGCGGACCATACGCAGGGTGCTGAATGGGAATGGAACCGCAGGGAATGACCCAGCGCCCACATGGAATGCTGGCAGTTGCAGGCAGAGGATTATCAAATTGAGCACTGACCCCAAATGTGCATATATTGACAATATGTACGGTTGAATATATCATTGTTAAACTTGAAGGGAGGTTTAGATGTAAGAGCTTAGAATCTTAAATTCTTAAAACTCCCAGAACATTTTCTTAAAGCCATGCATTAAATCAGTTGGGATGCTTGTTTAAAATGCAGCTTTTTTCTCATTTATTTATTTGAAAGGTAGAATGATAAAAGAGAGAGTTGTCCCACAACAACTGGGAATGGACCAGCCTGTAGTCAAGAGCCAAAAATTCCATCCAGGGCTCCTGTGTGAGTGGTAGGAACCCAAGTACTTGGACCGTTACCTGCTGTTGTCAGATATTCTAGCAGGAAGCTGGATCACAGTCCCAGGTCTTCTGGTAAGAGCAGGGCATTTCAAGTGTTGCCTTAACCTGATATGCCATAAAGCCAACCCATTATCCATCTTATTTCTGCCAAGTCAGACCCATGAAGTTTGTGTTGATAGCTATTCTTGCAGGTGATTTTTCTATATCCAAACTGTTGGTCTTGTAAAAGGTCTATCTATGCCAATTGGTTCTATTGGTAGCTTACTTTCTCACAATGCAAATACCGCACATGTTCCTGAACCCTGCTCTCTTTTTACTGTTGCGTATGTGTGTGTGTGTGTGTGTGTGTGTGTGTGTGTGTGTGTGTGTTTCTGTCAAAGAAAAAAAATAAAAGATATTATCTCTAATAACTGCTGTCATGGAATGAAAATAGGTTGAAATAATATGGTTTATGAGCTACATGAAGCTAAACTAAATGACAATTTTAGGGAGAATAGTAGATGCCTGTAAATGTTGATTTT